CTGGGTAATTAAATTTTTGTCAAAATAATGTCATTTATCATTTTTACTACTGATTTTAAATAGTTGCACAAGGTCACCTGACGACCAATGAGTCAGCCAATTTACAAAATCCTCAATTTTAACCAGAATGTCATTGGAGTCACAGTCACTGGTGTAAAACCAGTGACATGTACAATATGTTTGGAATTAAACTCTCCTCTTTGCATATATGATAACAGGAGATGTTCATGGACTTATTAAGATTATTTGTTTTGGGATGAGAGAAATAGATTTTTTAAAAATGTATCCACCTGAATTCCCCCTCCAAATTATATATAATAGGTATATATTAAGAAATCAAATTAAATCACATCTCAATTATTCAATTAATTAAATCAGTTAATGAAAAGGGATGGCACGGCTCTACTGCACCATAATTCAATCCGCAAAAGGCTTGATGATTATGAATCGGGGCCCAGATTCATTAATGTTTTTAAAAAAAATGTATCAGTGTTGTAACTAGGCTATTACACCATTTCTCTTGAGACATATTGAATACAGCCAGAGAATTACATACGTTTTGAATGGGATTTAGCAATTAGCACTATTTGAGACATTTATTTAAATGTCTTACACAGTTTAGAGGAAGATATGTAAATGTGCACTAGTAAAACATTCCATGATTGGTCAGTCATGGGCTGGATGTTAGGGAACCAGCCCTGTGATTCCCTGAACCGACAGCACGTGACTGAAGTGCCCTTGAGCAAGGCACCTAACCCCCAACTGCTCCCTGGGCACTGTGGATAGGGCTGCCTACCGCTCTGGGCAAGTGTGCTCACTGCCCCCTAGTGTGTGTGCATTCACTAGTGTGTATGTGGTGTTTCACTGCACCGATGGGTTAAATGCGGAGGTGACGTTTCCCCGTTGTGGGTCCAATAAGGGTCACTTAATCTAGTCTAATCTCATGACTTTTCTCCTGCAGTATCGTGTTTTGCTTCAGTCTTGTTTGTGCGGTTTAATTCCGGTGATGTAGCAAAGCCAACTCAGAAATATTTTCAGATTGTGATTGCGGATATACAAAAAGTAACCCATAATTACTCAAGTAGTTTTCCAATAAACAACATATTTATTTTTGCTTGAGTAATTTCCTTTAGTAATATATTGACTTGTACTCAAGTAAATTATCACTACAGTAACACTATTTTTACTTAAGTACGGATTTTCGGTACTTTCCACCCCTGGTTATTTAACATCAATGAATACAGTCGTATGCAAAGGTTTGAACACCCTTGTCAAGTGATGTGTTTCTAAGTTAAAATAAGTAAAAAAAAAAACTTAATTAAGACATTTTCTGCAAAATTTCTTTTTATTTTCTGAATTATACATATTAGAAAAAATAAAACAAAATATAAAATGTGCCATAATTTTTCCACAGGCTAAATTTTATCTCTTTTCTCCAGTATGTGAAACCCAGCAAATAAACAGAAGTGCAGAACTGTGTTCTCTTTAAAGGATATGTTAACTTATTTTTCCTTAGAACATCAACAGGTCATGTAATTTACATACTTTTGCATACAATTGTATCAAATTTGTATTTTTAGGGACCCTTAACTCATGAAGAGCCCTATTTAGCTGTCTACAGTAACATGTGGCTCTTTTACTGCCCTGTTGAGGCTCCACAGCTGAATTAGATTTGTAGGTAAAAATAAAATAATCCTCCTTTGCAGTAAAATAAAGCTCTGCTGATCGTTTAAACACAGTTTTTACAATAAATGGTCTTAAATGCTGGAGTAATATAGCCTATATCTGCTAATTCACCCTTTGGCGGACATCAATGATTTGGAGACGAATGAACTTATTTGCATTCATAAGCACTCAGCTGGATTCCTCATATGTTTAATCTGCAACGGGAAACTGTCAAACACTAAAAAGTCATATAGCTGAAGCCATTAACTCATTCGCCAGCTTCTGATTAGAATTTTCCCATTCCACTTTAAATGGTGCAGCAGTTACATTTTGGCACATAAGGCGCCATTTAAGGTGGAACAGGAACATTTGAACAAGAAGCTGGCGACTGAGAAGCTTTGCAAAAAGTACAATGTTGAAAGACGTTTTACAAGAAACTCTTCTACTTGTGTTTCCTGCTGGAGATGCGAGAAAAGCTGTGCTAAAGCTTAAAGCAGAGCAAAGTAAGTCTGATACTGAGACATATTTACAGCCAAAATGGTAAAATGAACATAAAGTGTTGTGGCTCCCAAAGTGGTTTGATTTTTGCTGAAAAGACAAAATGGCTCTTCTTAACATTTGGGTTGCGACACCTGGCCTAGTGCAAAGACTACTTCTACATTAGAAAGATCCAGCCGGTCTGGGTTCATGCCAGTTTCCTCCCTTTTGATGCAAACACAAGCTACCTGAGTGCTTATCGCTCCTTCTTGTGGAGAATCTTCAGAATCTCACTTACCAGTTGTATCTAGCTTTTTATTCTCTGTCCTCTTCTCCTTCTCTCTCGCTCTATTAGCCTCTCCCCCCTCCCTCCTTCCTTCTGCTCCTGTATTTTCTCTCCGCGCTGGAGAGCTTTTTGTGGAAGTGTGTGCAGCGTTCTTTCTCTTTCTTTCATTCCGCACATGTTTTGCATTAGTGGACATAATAGAGTAGCTTATTGGGAGACTAACTCAATTATTCTTGAGGGCTCTTGTCACTTTCTCAGCCAAGCAGGAGCCCTCAGCTGGAGCTTCAGCCTTACAGTACAGCCTGCTACTTTCCCTTCTCTCCACTTTGCCTGTTATATCCCTCTCTCTCTCTGTTTCTGCTTCTATCTACCTCTGTCTCTCTCTCAGTGTCTCTCTCGCCTGTCTCTCAGTGTGCCTCTTTACTGAGACACCTCACATGGCAGTAATTGAATTGTCTGTTGTTTTGGTTCACCACACCTGAGAAGAAGCAGCTCATCTCTTACTTTTTCATCTCTTCTCTCCTCCACCTCTCTTTGCTTGCGCCCTCGCTCCCCCCCCCTCCCTGGCTCTCACTCATCTTACTCGGTTTTGATGTGTGTGTGAAGTCTGCTGATGGTTTTCCATTCACCCTCTCTAACGCAGAACCATGACGCAGTGGGCCTCTTCACTGCACTTCAATGAGATGCAGAGTTAGGAAAACATCTGAGTATCAGAGACTTGTGCCAGTCAAATCTAGAACACTGTGACTAGGGGGAGAACGTTCCTGAAAAGTACAAATGCTAGGAGAACATTCTAGAAGAGTGTGCATGGTGGGAGAACATTGTACAACAGTGCGAATGCAGCGAGCATTCTAGAACAGCGTGTGTGATGGGAGAAACATGAATGAGGAGAACAGTCTAGGGCAATGTAAATGAGAGGGAACATTGTAGAATGATGTGTATGTTGGAGAACTTTCTAGAATAGTGTCAGTGGTGGGAGAACTAACGGGCAAAATAATTTAAATGAAAGAAATCGTTCTAGAACAAGGTGAATGAGGGGAGAACATTCTAGGACAGTGGGAATGGTAGGAGAACACACTAGAACATTGTGAGTGGGGAGAGGAGCGTCCAGGTTAGTGTAAATTTTGAGAACATTCTAGAACAGCGTGAATGGAAGGACAACTTTCCAGAGCAGTGTGAGTGATGGAAGAACAGTTGAGAACAATGTGAATGAAGGGGAGCCATTTGAGAACAAAATGGATGATGGATGAACATTCTTGAACACTGTAAGTGATAGGGGAATATTCTAGAACAGGAAGAATGCATGGACATCATTCTAGAACAGTACGAATGTGGCAGGGAACTATCTAGAAAGTGTGAATGGGGAGAACATTGTAGAACAGCATGAACGGTAGGTGAACTTTGTGGAACAGTGTGAATGGACATTCCTCACATTCTAGATGAATGAGGGGAGAACTTTCTACAATAGTATGATTCTAGGAGAACTTTCTGGAACAGTGTAAATGCAGGGTGAACATTTAGAGTCTGTATCAACAATAGGAGAACACTAAAACAGCATGACTGAAGGAGGAGAACATTTTAACGATGTGAATGAGGGGAGAAAATTCTAGAATAGTCTGATTGAAGGGAGACCATTCTAGAGCAGTGTGAGTGGTAGGAGAATATTGTAAAACACTGTCAATAGGGTGAGATCAACCTAGAATAGTCTGAATGGGGAGAACATTCTAGAACAGCATATGTAGTAGGTGAACATTGTAGAACAATGTGAATGGTGAGAGAACATTCTAGAACAATGTGAATAGTGGGAGAACTGTCTAGAGCAGTGTAAATGAGGGGGGAACATCATAGAATGATATGAATGGTGGGAGAACATTCTAGCACAATGTGGATTTTGAGAGAACATTCTAGAGCAATGTGAATAGTGGGACAACTTTCTAGAGCAGTATAAATGAGAGGGGAACATCATAGAATGATGTAAATGGTAGGAGAACATTCTAGAACAGTGTGAATGGGCATCTGTCACATTCTAGATTAATGTGAATGCGGGGAGAACATTCTACAATGTTCTGAATCTAGAACATTCTAGAACAGTCTCAATGAAGGGAGAACATAGTAGAGGAGTGTGAGTGGTAGGAGAACATTGTAAAACAGTGTAAATGGGATGAGAGCAATCTAATACAGTCTGAATGAGGGAGAACATTCTAGAATAATTTGAGTTTGGAGAGAACCATTTAGGACGTTCTAAAATAGCATGAATGGTAGTAAAATTAGAGGAAAATGTGGTGTGAGTTGGGGAGAACTTTTTAGATCAATCTGAATGAATAAACATTCTAGAACATTCTAGTGTGAGCGGTCCGTGGACGTTCTAGAGACCTCCAACAATCATATAGCACACCAGCCCAACGTTTGGGTTTGGCTATGGGCTTATTGATATGTTCACATCCTAAGACTTATTATTCAGTACATACATGGAGCACAGTGCATATTTATTGTGTTATTATTAAGATACAGAATTGAAGGATGTCTCTCTCTCTCTCTCTCTCTCTCTCTCTCTCTCTCTCTCTCTTTGCAGACGGAGCAGTTTGTTCATGCTCTGAAGGATGAGTTGGTGAAGAGTGCTCTCTTGGCGCTCCACGCTGCGCGGCCCGGCTACGTCAGCAAGAGCCAGACGTCCAGTCAGCCTGAGGCTCACTCAACCCCAACCCAAAACCAGAGCCCAAACCCAAACCAGACCCCAGAGCCAGACGCTGTTGTCTGCAACAATGTGGCCGGATCTCAATCTCCCCCTAAAAGGGAAAATCCACCACCTCCTAAACGACAGGACATCCCCCACCACAAGGAGTATGATGAGGAGGAATGGGCAAGTTTACACTTCACTTCTTCTGTATTCTCTGGTAGTGTTTATATAAGGACCGACCGATTGGCTATGTACCGGTATCAGATGGTTTTCAGCCCAAATATGCAATCGGCGATCAATATTTCTCTAAGCTGATCCTAAAAACTGATTAGTTACATAAAACTAATGAGCCATATTTAAGGATTGCTGCAGCCCTTTGTGAGGCTCCTTGGTCACAGGACCCTGCAGTTCCTCGTTCAAACGCTAGATGGAAATACAAGAGCTGGAAGGCTGTGTATGGCTGTGTTAAAGTGGCTGTATTTAACCGAAGGAGCATCAAGCGCAGGCAGAGCCTCAAACTCCCCCACTGACCTGTGGAAATACCTGCAGAATCGCTCATCATGCAGCTTCAGCTAGCTCTTGTAAGAGGTAGTGGGGCTCCCTACGTTTCTTTTGTAGAATGGGATGTACCCAGTGTAAGCACCGTTTAGTTGCAGTGCTTAAAGGAAAAAAGTTTTGAGAGTAATTAGACAGAAAAACGCTTCAATCTTGGTGTGAAAGTCCTACTACATTAAAATCATCCAAATAGAACTTAGAAATATTAGGTGTGAATAGACCTTAACAGTTCGGCCCCGCCCTCGATCACTATCATCTATCGGCCGATAATGCAAGGGCAATTGGTATTGGCTCCAAAAACACTGAACGGTCCATCCCTAGTAGTATTCTCCTGTATGTATGAGCGATGTTCAGACTTTCTCAGGGTCGTGGGGTGGGGGGTCTTTGTGTTTAGCATAGAAAGCAGAGTGTATTTTCATATGCCAGTTGATTACTGTTTTGCAGGCGCCATTCTTTAGTCAGTGTTGTTTCATTATAGCCTGTGTTGCTGCGTTCAACATCAAATACCATCTGCTTCTAGAGTTGTAATGTAATTTGTCACTATGTGGATTTAGATGTCCAAATGTATCCAGACATAGTGAATTCAGCTACTTTGAGGTGGGTTTAATTGCACATACACCACTTGTATAATCTCCATAGAAATACATTGCCAGTAAAATGGGACACTCTGGAGCACCCGCACATAGGTCTAAGATCACCACGCCCGATATTAAACGGCGGCTAAAAGGGTATAAAGTCCCTAAGCATTGGGCTGTGGAGCAGTAGAACTGCATTCTCTGGAGTGATGAAGCTCCATCCAATACGTTTGGGATAAGTTGGAGTGATCCAGAAGTAATCATCTAAATTCAGTACCTGACCTCACTAATGCTATTATGGCTGAATGCAATCAAATCCTCACTGCAGTGTTCCATTGTAAAGGCTTCCCAGAAGAGTTACTGCAGAAAGGGAACAAAATCTCTATTAATACCCTTGGTTTTAGAAGAAACGAATGAATGAGCAGTTGTCTACAAACTTTTGGACAATATATATACACTTTATAGATATACACTAGTTTTATACAGTGATAGATTAGCGAAAGTTCTTCAGCCCATGATATAACATATAGGTCAGACCGAGGCCCAGGTGGCCCCCTGTTCTTCGGTCCATAGTGTTTAGGGGTTTTGAGTGTGCGCTAAAGGTTTCAGGAAGAAAGAAGGAAATAGTCGGTGAGACTTTTTGAAAGTTCTCGTCGTCTCCATGGAGGCAGGAGAACGGGTCAGCGATCATGCCTCCGGCGACAGGCTCGCTTGCAGCAGCGGCCGTGAAAACTGTTCATTAAAAAGCCTTAACGGGCGCCACAGCTGCCGGGTGGAAGTTTGAAAACTTTCTGTGTGGTATCAAGGAGCACAAAGAGGGTAGGCAAGAGAAGCTTTCTTGGTACTCTCACTCACTACTGGCCACAGACAAGTGGATATTAGAAGTTGGTGTCTGGCATCTTACTCCTCTAATTGCATTCTCCAGTGAGTGTATGGTGTGTGTGTGTGTGTGTGTGTTCTTGTTTGCCTGCCTATCAGTGTCATAGCCATGGTTAACAGCAGGGGATTAGCAGCAAAGCTAAGACAACAATCTCTAATCAATGATGAAATGACTCGCTTGCCTTTGAGTGCAGCTTAGAAGTGGAAAAAGAGGGGGAAAAAAGCAAAAAAGAAAACGGTCCCTGAAAAGAAAAAGAAACAAAGGACACACAGAGTGTGTTATTATACTTAACGCTATGGGTAGCCTAATTACTCTTGCGGCACAAGGACAAGAGACATGGGCGAGCGTGGAAATTTGTAGGTGCAATGGAAAAATAACAAGCCCAGGACCACGGGGGATATGCATGGTCTCGAAGATGGAGAGAGGGAACACCAGAGAGCCGATGACCTAAAACACGCTGCTTTAAGGAATTATGGATCTCTGTAGTGCTGGCCAACTGTCCAGTCCAATGTGGCACACACATGTGGGCAAATTTGGGCTGCACTTGTATTAATGTTGTGACTGAGAAGAGACACAGTTACACTTTTGTTTTTTTGACATTGCTCAATTGTTGCTCAATATTTCCTCTGTTACAAGCATTAGTAAGAGGTTTCAGGGTGGAATGAAGATTGTAATTCAGATAATTAGTTCATCTGATGTCTCAAGTCTCAGTTTGCTGGTTACTTTACTGCAGAGAGCTGTAAGAAATGTGGATTATGGGGTTTATTTTGATTTTATAACATTTGTATATCAGATATGGTGTAGGATATAGTGGACTGCTGACCAGTTTATAATTTGTTAGTCTTTTGTTAATCTCAGTATTGTCCAAGCTTAGTATGTCTGTGGGTTTTTAATGGTCTATGTGTTATCCAATGAAATTATACAGGCCGATATTCAAATACGTCACATTTATTATTGATTAACCAGTGTGTTTGGTTTGTGCAGCCTAATGCTAATGCTTAGGACAAAAAGTGCTTTCTTTTTGAAGGAAATCAAATATATTCCATTTAAGAAGAAACATAGCGGCTAAGAGACGTAAAGGAGAATTCCCACCAGCTTTTCAAAATTACTGAATAAATAATTCATTTAGATGTAATACAGTGGTTTGGTCTGAAATGCACCATTATTGACGAGTCAGAATGTCACCGTACAGAAATGCGTGGTTTCAAATGCACGATCTGATGCCTGAGACATTGTTTTATGGTAGTTCTGAGGTAAGATTTTGACCTAAAACATACTTTTCAGATCCAGGGTATTGTGAACATGCAAAAGGCAAAGCAGTATCCAAAGAAAACTTGATTTGTCAAATTTACAACTATGGTACCCTTATCAAAATTACAGATATGGATAGTAAATATAATGGCTACATTTCTATAGACATAAAAACCCTTGGTTCTTATTACCACGACTCTAAAGAAGGAGTGAAGAAGTGCAAAGAGTTTGTTTGTTTATTTACAATGGTCCAACCACTCTGCATGACTGTTTACATCTCATCCATTGAATTATGCAGACATTTTGAAAAATCGGTGGATTTGCCCTTCAGTCTTAGACTTAAAAAACAGTTCACAAGATAACACTTTTCTTTAGGATTTAAAGCTTATTAAAGCTAATCTGAAAACACAACCCATACAGCTGTGTCTCAGTTTGAATCAGCCTGGCTCTAACTCTCGTTGTGGCCTCTCTAGGATAGGGTGTGGGCCAACGTGGCGAAGAGTCTGAACTGTGTCATCGCTGTGGTGGACAAACTACAGGAGCAGGACAACAACAAACAGGATTCCACTCCTGACCAGGCACTCGCTGATGTCATCACCTCCCACAATCCTGGTAAGAGCCAGCTCCCTTATACGGCTTACTGTAGATTAACACCTGATAATTAATTAAGGAGGTGAATTTCCTGCTCTAACACACCTGATCCAGCTCATTAGGCCTTTCTGAAGAGCCACCGCAGGTCAAGGGTAACCCAGTCTTAGAACGAAGGGTCCTGAGTGGTCCTTGGCTCGGATGTATGGCTGTAGGAAAAACCTTTAATTGGTATTGAACCTTTACATCATGTGGAGATTCTTTAAACTCTAAACATCTTCTTCATCTCGAAAATAGTTCTTTAAAGAACCATCCATTGTAAGGTTCTTTAGGGAACCAGAAGTGTTTCTGCTGATTTATATTTAAAGAGACACTCTGGCCAAAATGAAAAATTAATCTCTACATCTGCTGGCTCGCCTCATGTAACAGCACCTCACGGAACAGCACCTCACGTAGTCTCTAGAGCGAGATTTGCTGGCTTAAAGACCAGGAAAACCCTTCTGATGATGTAACTTGAAGGTAGGAAGAACCTTTGAAAAACCTTTGAATGCAGGTACTGTCAGTGCTCAGAGCAACCCGAATATCATGTCATGTTTACTAGCCTCTACATCAGCGGCTATACTAGGTGTCAGGATGTTTTTTATTCCTAATGATTGTATGATGTATTTATGTAATGCATGCTGGGTATTGTAGTGCAAAAACACAAAAATGATGCAAAGTTGTGAATTCTGTCAAACCGATGAGGCTGAGGGATACAACGCTGCGCTACAAGTACCTCATAATATGACAAGTAACATAATAAATGCTAGTTTTAGGCTGGAATGCCCCTTCAGGAGTGCAGGTCAGGGTTGGGAGCCTTTTGTAAAGTACCAAAGCCTCTCCAGAGGTTGTTTTGATTAGAAAGCTCAATTCTGGCTGCTGTCTTGCACCCCTATTATTTTGTCTACAATCCTTGTTGCCTCTGTTTTCACTTTTATTGCATCTCTCTTCTATTTTCCTGCACTTTTTAAGACAAGCTCAACACTTCAGATCATCTTCCCTTATGTGACTGCAAATTTTGCGAGGCAGCGGAGACTGAGATTGGTTTTATTTGTTCAAGCGGCCTCTTTGCGGGATGGCCGCTAGCAGTAAAGTTCAAATGCAGCTGCTTGGAAGAGAGGAGAAATTAAACTCTGTGGAATTCATAAAGGGCATGTATTAAAGGATGGACAATTTTATCTCTTGTTTTCTCCACTCTTCTGTATTCAGGGCTACACAGGCATTGAATGATCTGCTGAGCATTTTTCTCTCTCCTCCTCCTCCTCGTTATCTCTGTCTGTATGTTCAAATGAGCAGAAAGGCATAGTGCCCATTCAGAGGCAGTGTGTGGGCACTTTTATGCTGTACAAACAATTCTACTAAATGTTTGATTTGTATACTACAAACATGCAGAGGAATATTATGAAGGTGAAAAGATGATGCTTTTATCTAACCTCCAAGACATCAAACCCAGCTAGCAATTATTACATTCACCACCTCTGTAGAAAGGTCAGCAGACGTTCTGACATTGTCAACTGCCACAAACACACATCCACACACTGTCAGACAGTGAGATAAGACATTGGTTTTATCAGCGCCCATGTGGGGGTGAAACCGAGTAGAGAGGCTTTAGGAGCGGCCTGATGACATTAGCTGTCAGCGGGGGAGTGCTGTAATTGAGGGGAGTGAAAACTGAGCGCTTGACCTCCAGCACTGAGCTTTGATTTGAGAGGTGTTCATCATCAGCGCATAAACACTGCTTCGCGCAGCTGTTAGGCTGTGCTGCCATCTAGTGGTCATCAGCAGAACCTTAGTCCTGAGCATGTCCTTGGTTGCATGATGTGTTAATGGTTTGTTTCTGCCACCTCAAAGATAACATAACATCCTAAATGTTCTCTGTAGGCGAAGAACCTTTAGGTGTTTTACTGTTTTCTCTACACTCTGAAAAGTGGTGTGTTTTCATGAAATCCTGAAATCATTCACTTATCAGCCACTTATGGTCCTTATATGGAGACTTAGCTACTAAAACAGTCTCTTTCGATTTCACTGTATTTATGATGAAAACTAATACATTTACATATATCAGTAACAATAGCAGCCTGTTTCATTCTCAGGGTTAACTCTATATCCCAGGCTGTTTTTGTTAGCAAATACTGTAATATGTAAAATGAATAATGGCTGTTTTTTTGTACATCAAACCACACAAATGGAAAAAGTAGCAAAAATACAAAAGTAGACCTGAAGGAAAAAAATGAAATGCATGAAAAATGTCAAATACAGGCCCTTTAAATATCAACACTTTTTTCTGTGTTACCCGTTTTAACATATTTTATGTCATTTTCAGGGTTTGAATTAAGGAGGCGCTGAGGGGGGGTCCCAGACCTCCCATAAGAGTAAATGGACCCCCTATAACTGTTATTTCCATTAAAAAGTGAATTGTCTATCAAAATGAACGTCCTTGCATAGAAGTGACTGTCGTCTTTTCTATGTTTACATCTTGTTTAACATGAGAAAACCTCACCTTGGACAAACTGTAAACACATCCAACCCAAGTTCCTTACGTAACCATACAGTTTAGTGCACCAAGCTGCATCGCTCCAGTTCAGAACTGCAGAAGCTTAATGCTTGAGTGCATCTCAAACTGCTGAGAATCCTTAGATACCGTTGTCAGCAACAGCTATGAAGACTAAGTAAAGAGAAAATAAATGTCATACCATGCTAGAAGCTAACAATTATGTTTTTTTCAGCAAAGCGTTTTCATTTCTGTTTGAGGGCATGCAGGTAACATTCACATTAGCTTACATGTATTTTTGTGCAGCAACCTATATATTTTTACACTAAATTTAATGGATTAAAACTGTGAATATATCAGATTTCGTATCACTAATAACTCTTCACAAACCTTTTTCAAGCTGGACAACTAGGCTGTAAAGTTGGTAACAGACCATAAGTGTGTTTGTTGCAGTTTAAAAGACTTTACTGTCTTTCTCAGAGTAAATTTTTTGCCACCTGTGATCTACTATGGCTTTCCGTGGTCTCTTTCTGGGTTTAATTTAAAGCTGTAATGGCATAATATTGAGTGTCATGCTTTAGAGACGTTGAATAAATTTGAACATCACCATCACCGAGCACCACCTCGTGTCTAATTTTGGACACTGCTCGACGCAGCATGTGCTGAATGCGGCAGCCTTCAGTGTAAAAATCATTTATATCATTTCTATTAACTTTGATAACTTATACTGACGTTAAAAGACAGCTGACTAATAAAACCTGTGGAGAACTACAGGGGTAAACCTAACAAAATACATTGTGAAAATAGTAATCATCAATACATAGATTATCTCATAGTAAGACTTTCCATCAATGGACCCCCCAAGTGCTCCACAGTTCAAACCCGGGTCATATTGTTTTCTGTTTTAACACATTCTATGTCAAAAGTAACACCAAAAGTGTTGTCGCAACTGAGCACAGAAAAAAATGTTAAGAAACATTAGTATGTTCACTTAAAGACAACACATTTTGCAACTTTTAACACAAAATGTGTTGTCTTTAAGTGAACATACTAATGTTTCTAGTTTGCAAGCCAAGAATTTCTGTGCTAATGTTGGCAGTTTAGCCAGGGAATTTCTGGCGAGGAGAGCTGCCACTCAGTAATGTCTTCTGGATTTGTGAGACACTAGAGGGTGCTCTTCGACCAGTCCAAAATTAATGGGTACCTATGGAGCTTTTGTGCAGAATTGTTGTTTGTAAGTACTTCAAACTTAGCTAGATTTATTTAGAGACCTCTCTGTGAAAATGTGTAAATGCACACAACCTAAGTGAGTAAGTAAAAAAATGAGTTTTTATTTTTTATAGGACTTTTCTAGACAAAAGCCACAAACTATTTCACAAGGAAAGATAAAATAGTTAAAATAAAGAGAAATAGTAAAAGTTATTGGAGCAAAAAAAAACATGCATATAAAACAAAACATGCATATAAAAAAAAGATCCACAAAAACACACAGAAAATACTAAAAGATAAAATATGAATTATTAAACAAAGAGCTAAAAATTACCATACAAATATTAAAACGAACTAAGATGAGAGAATAAAACTAAGTTTTAAGACTCTTCTTAAAACATGCACTGAGCCAGACAGTCTAATGTTCAGAGGAAGAGTCCCAGGGAAGGGAGCATAGACAGCAAAGACCCCAACTCCTTTTCATTTTATCTTTGTTTTTAGAAAGTCTAGTAGGTTCCAACTAGATGAACAAAACATCCTTATACTATTATATGGAGACAACAACTCAAATATATTTCGGGCATCACCATGCAGTGTCTGATAAGTGAGAACCATAATTTAAAAATCAATCCTAAAATTTACTGAAGGTACAACTGAAGAGAAACTAACACAGGTGTTTTTTTATTCTGTCATCATGAGGAGACAGGCTGCAGCATTTTCAACCTGCTGAAGGCAAGTCAGACTGAGACAAATGAACAGCGCATTGCAGTAATCCAGGCAGGATGAAATAAAAGCATGAACAATGTTTCAGTATCTTTAAAAGACAGGACACTTCTGAAGTTAGCAATGTTTTTAAATGAAAAAAGCAAGACTAAACAAATTTCATAGTAATTAAGAAAGTTGAGAGGCATCCAGTTCTTAATAGCTGCCTGACATTCAGTCAGATTGACAAACTGACTAAAATTATGTCTTATACCAGTACACCAGTACAACTGTTTGTCATCAGCATAAAAATTAAAATACAAAAACCACCTAAGTGAAGTATATAGAGGGAAAATGATATCTGCCCCAGGATAGACCCCAGAGGCACGCCATAGTTTAAAGCATCAGTAAAGAACATCATGTCACTAACAGACACAGCAAATCTCCTATTTGTTAAGTATGAGATAAATCATTCAAGGGTAGCTCCTGATATACCAACCCATAATGTGAGCCTTTTAATCAGAATACCATAGTCAGTTGTGTCAGAGGCTGCACTGAAGCCTAATAAAACCAGAATAGAAAAATGGAGTCCGACAGCATTAAAACACCATTTAAGACTTTAAGAAGGGCAGTCTCAGTACCATGTCCCAGCTAAAAATCAGATTGAAATTTTACAAAAATGTGGTTTGCCCCCCACCAGCCCGCACCCCTGTGCTATTTTAGAATAGTCAGGGACACAACCTGAAATGAGAGATTCATCTACACTAGCTTGCAGGTAAAGCGCTACAGATCTCAACACCTTTTTTAAAGAATTTAGTTGGGATCAAAGGGACTAGAAGATCGATGTAAGTGTTGCACAGTTGTTACTACATCACAGCTCAGGCAGGGTATGTCCAGAAAAGTGCATAGAGATTTATTATCTCTGATCCTGTTAATGTTAGAAAAATGTAAGAATTGTTCATAATCAATTGAAACAGGAACCAGGAACAAGAAGGGCCATCACTTACAAGAAGGTCAATATACAGAATAAAAACATTGGATTATGCTGGCATCAGTAATCAGATTACTAAATTAAGCAACATTTGCATTTCTAACCAGTGATTGTAAAAAGTCAACAAATGTTTCAGCTGCATGTATCAGATGCACAAGCAATTTAGACTGTTTACACCTACATTTGGCTTGTCTGCATTGACACTGGAGAAATAATGTCACTGTTTAACCAAGAGGAATTCACTAAAGGCTTGATCCAGGTTTTAACAGGCAGAGTCGTGTCTAACACAGCAGAGCATACATTGTTAAAATGTTTTACCAAGTCATTTATGTGAGTAGGCTGGGTAATGGATGCACTAAGTGACTCATTATTAAAAATTCAAGAATGAACAAAGGCAAGGGTTTGCAGTGCTGGCTTTAACAACCAACAAACCTTTCTCGTTCTTTAAGGAAATAATGGATGTTGTGTTCTCCAGGCTAAAGCAGTGAAGAACCTTCCAGATAGTTACTAGTATGAAGTGTAAAAGCCAGGGTCTGTCATGGTGTAGGGATTTATTACTGCTTATGGCAAGGGTAACTTGCTCATCTGTTAAAGCACTATTAACACTGAAAGATATGTACACATTTTGGAGCAACATATGCCTTTAGACACCGTCTTTTTCAGGGATATCCATGCTTATTTCAACTTCTTATTTCTGCACAAGTTACATCAGCATGTCTGTGTAGTGAGAGGGTGCACGTGCTAGACTGGGCTGTCTGTTTCCTGTTGAAAACATGTGGTGCATTATGAAGTGATAACGAAGGCTTCATACTGTTGCACAGCTGAAGACCTGTATAACCGAGGAATAGCACAATTCTGCCTTCAAAACCGGATCAGTTTGTGTCTTTAGTCCCTGAACGTTTATTAACTATTAAAAGCACACTTCATGCAAAACAGTAGTAAATATTCTCTCAAATTTTCTGGAACAAATATGGAACAAATTTATCAAATATTGTAACTTAGTACTGTTTTCAATTTAGTATAGGTCAAATAGAATCTTATTAATCACCGCTTTCTGTTTTGATTGACATTTAACATATTGTCCCAACTTTTTTGGTATTGGATTTGTGAAAAATAGATCCTAAGTATAACCATTCAACTATTGGTTGAAACTTTAATATCTTGTGAAAAATTAAAAGATTCCATAATGTTTGAAACTCACGGATGTTACACTCGCTAGCTAGTAAAATCGGATCATTACAGATGACAGTGTCACAGATGACAACAATTCAAAATACTCTGTTAGAAACTGGTAGAGTTTGCAGGGCGATACACAATGATACGTAAAACTGGTTTGTCACATGAAACCCTAAAAACCAAACTTTTAAAACTGGAAAATCTCCTTTACTCTAGATTTACTGGAAAGCAACTACAGTGATTCTTACATGCCGCAGCAAGGCCAACAAATAAGTCATGATAAATCTCTTATTAGACAGTGATCTAACATTACTCAAAGCCAGTTTAACAGGGAAGAGTGACTTGCTGTCAGTTTTGATGTGCAGTTTATGGTAGGCTTAGTGTGGATAAGATTACCTCCAGTTATTCAGGCCTCCAGATCTGCTTTCCTATTCCATTTTCTAATGATTACAGGTGTCTTCGAGCATTTATTTCTTTATCCTGGTAGTCACTTTTTTTTTTTGGTTGTCATGTGCGGAAGAATGTTTTAATGAAGGTTGGGCGTCAGATCTTTTCTCCAAGCAGATGAATCTGATGATGGAAGTTTGTGGAAAGAGTATTCAAAGAGAGCTCAATCAAAACTTGGTGAATGTCATGTAAGATATTGGCCCTCAACGGCAGCCAGATTACTTACTTTTGGTAGTGAAAACATTTTCTCATGCGTGCTTTGCTAAAGACTACACGTGACATGAGCATGTAAAGACAGCAAGCATTTTACAGAATGTTGGAAAAATGGCATTCAACCTAGTGAGAAGTGGGTGGGTGGGGTACTCAGCATCACCACTACTCGCAGTACTTCGTATGGCATCCACACTATTATGAACGACAATAACATTAAAAATAAAGGACGAGTTATTGCCTTTGCAGGGGAGGTGGTAGTATGGCCAATGGATATGGAAAAAAAATATTTTTATTTTTTTATTTAACCTTAGCCAACAGTAGCTACATAGAGCATATCTGTGAGTGGAGCGTGGATATGTCAACTACATTTACAGGTGATTTACATTCTGTATTAACAGGTTCAAGTCTATACTGTCTTTTTTCAGTTTGTTTTGGTGAGTGTGTAGCAAATAAGTGTGTGTTTATAGCAAAAGAAGCAAATCCTAATGAAATATTTTCTATGTACAAGCTTTAAATGTGGTATGGATTGAAAGTTTACAGTCCATACTTTTCACAGAGTTTCTCTGCTTGTTTCAGTCAGCTGTGACATAGAAAATTACACTGTGCTTTTGTTATCACTGTTTTCATTTCTTAATATAAAACACTAATGTAGGTAATATAAAACACTGTCTCTCTCCCTCTCTCTCTGTGTTAGCCGCAGACTGGAGGGATCAGCTCAGTCCTCTGGTGGTGGCCCTGAAGGATTGCGTGAGCGAGGTGGCCGAGAGAGCCAGCAAGTCCATGACTTTCGTGCTTCTACAGGAGGCAGCGTGCAGCACTCCCCATGGCCTTCAGCTCCAGCAGAGACGAGACACGGTATTCAGCCAAGCGGTCAGTATCACCCAGTATCACCAAATTTGTAACAAATCGCTGCTGTCGGAACAAAACCTCGTATCTCCATTCTTGTTTCAGTTTTTGACATAATTTGAAAATTTGCCTTTTACATTGTGTGTAAATTTCATGATAAATGGATCAAATGAAACAGCTTAAAATGAGTTGGGAAAAAGTCTAGTTCCACTGACACATTAAAAGTAAAGTATGTTTTTTTCATTCTCCTGTGAAGTTATCATTTTGGAGATACGAGGTTTTGTTCCAACAGCAGCAAAATGTAATAAATGTAAGCCCTGTCAAAGTTATAAAAAAAATGCTGTTTACTCCCCAGTCTGTACAGTCCATAAATGAAAACTAAGCTGCTTT